TGTCACTAAAATTAGTTTATTACATCCGTAATCACTAGGATTAGTTCAACCGTTCAAATTTGGTCACTCTCCATTAACTTTAGCTGACAATTGACCATTAAATAAGTGACGTGGCAATTAAAAAATTAGAAAATTTAATTTTTTTTTATAATTTCCACTTCATTATCCAATACATTAAAAAAATAAAACCTAAAAATTATAATTATAATTTCCGCTCACTTCCCTCTGTAGCTCGACGTCACGAAGCACCACCGCCTTCTCCAATTCCACATTTGCGACTCGGGAAGCTTGAGTCTATCCTCGTCCTCCACCAAACAATCCCTAATCTGCCTTGCCTTGACCCTAGTCCCGCTAACAGTTTCTGCAACCACAACTTGCTCAATCACCCTCGCCACCTCTCACCTGTCAATCCGATCAACCTTCATCACGACCCAACTTCCTCAACCAACCTCACATTCATCCCCACCGCCTCCAGGAACCCTTCTGGCAGCGCTTCCGCCGGCCCCATCTCTTGCCCTTCCGGAAACCTCATAACCCATATGACTGGTACATCCTCTTTTTCACCGCCAGGGTCTACCTCTCCAACAAAATTGGACCCAAGATCAAGCAAATCAGCGTCGCAAAATTCTCCTGCTAGAAAAAGGTCTCCGGGCCAAGGGAGAATTCTTCATCATCACACACCGATCACGATTCCGACTCCGAATCAACCCACTCCGACCCAGACTTCGCCGATTTTTCCGTAAGCATTGCCTTCACCGCCGACCTAGGTCGGAACCTACTATCACCGATTCTTTTGTAAACATTCGTCGTTGGAGCTTTGGAGGTCGGGCGTCTTCTTCAATTCTTTCCCTGTGTGCTCTATGGGTTTCGATCCAGAGAAGAAAGAGGGGTTGACGGCGGCGGAGAAGATGCTGGTTTTCGATTAGGTTATCGAGGGTTTGACGGCAGGGGAGAAGGAGGGGTGGACGGGAATCTTTGGATTTTCCGGGCCGGTGATTATAATTAATAAGATTATATTTAATTTTTATTTTATTGTTAATCTGAGGTGGAAATTAAAAAAAACTATTTTTATTATTTTTACTATTTTTAATTGTCACGTCACTTTGACCGCCATGTTAGCTAAAACTAACGAAGACTAACGGAGAGTGACCAAATTTGAACTGTTGAACTAATTTTAGTGACTACGAATGGAATAAACTAATTTAAATGACAAACATGAACTTTTTAAGTAATTTCAGTGACCAAACTTGCATTTTACCCTATATTTTACAGCCTAATTTCCAATTTCTTTTTGTCACATTTTTTCTTTCTTTTGTCTTGATGATCTTTGTGAAATTGTATTTATACCTTTTGGGAATATGTTCACGGTAAATAAAAACTCTCGAACTGACCAACCACTCCCCAATTTTTTTTTGGGAAAAATGATCGTCCAACCATATGGGCCAAGACTCTTAGTAGGATCCATAGCAAACAGTAGCTCAGTAATTTCATCATCAAGAACTTCTTTACACAAAGAACCACATTCCACCTCCACACTGAGCTTCTTCTGAATACGTCTTGCAATAAACTCTGACTCAACTTTCATAGAGTATTGATTTTTTCAAAAAGAAGATAATAAACTACAATTGTTTGTACAATGTCATCCAACTATATGATTTCCTCCCATGAGTCAAGGATTAGTCGTCTTATTCACTTACAAGTTGTTCTGATTTTGGAAGATGTGTGAAAAATGATGTATTGGCATCTCCAGATAGCCAATATACTATAGACCTTCGACCGAAAAATTTACCTCCTGCTTGCTGGTAGAAGAACTAATCTTTAGTATCATAAGTTTCGTCCTCAAAAGTCTCACAAACTACAAGGATTATTTAAAGCTTGTAGTTGAGCCTCTCTCATTCTGGCTGCGGCTTCCTTTACTATTTCTAAGATATCAGAAAAATCTTCTTATTCAACTTCTTAAGTTAAGCTCGAAGTAGAACAACAATGGAGTCTAAAGACAGAGCAATCCAAAACAAAATCTAAAGCCAGAAAATGAACGGGAAAAGATTGATCACTAACAGTAGAAAATCCCTAACAAGAGGCAATCAATGTGAGAACAGAATCCCCTAGCTTCCAAAACCAACAGCACAGCACAAACATGGTTTCAATTCGCCTATAACCAGACAAGCCCATGGCTATTGAACTTGCAACGCCATAAGTCGCCACATGGAGATCGTTCAAAGACGACCCATAATAGTGAATCTCATGGAAGGGATTACTCTGCGGTGGGCAGGCTGAAACCGAGATGCTCTGAGCTGAAAAATTCGAGGAAGCCGGATGCTAGGATGACCAGGAACCGAAAATACGAAGAATTATCTTCACCATCTCCAGAAAGCCAGCGAAACACAACCAACGACATCGAAAATGATGTCAGACCACACATCAGTCGACCTGGACATAAGCTCTCAAGCAAACCAGAGGTAGATGGATGGAAGATCTGTGAATTTGCTCACTAGAAGAGATAAGCACATCAGCATGGAGCATAAAACCAAACAGCAAAACACCATTGGAGGCGCTTCAGGCTGCAATTTTCAGATCCAATGAGCAAGACCAAATGAGATCTAGAAAATCAGAAATGACATTGAGGTAGAAACACTTAGAAGAAAGACACCAAAGGTCTAAAAAAAGCCAACATGGGCTGAAAAATGCAGGGAAGCATGAAAAAACAGGAAAATAAGAGCTATGCCACTGCCGATCACCAAAGAGAGTCGGCGGCAGCCCTGAAGAGAAGGGGAAAGTGGGCTTCCTTTAGAAAGAAGGGAGAGCGAAAGGTTTCAAAATAAAGTAAGAGAGAAGGGGGAGAGTAGAAAGTAGTCTAGTTGGTTGTACTGCTCTTTCTACACTTAAGTGACTAGGGTTCATATCCCAATAATATTTTCAATATATAAAATTTAGCACAATTACGAAAATGAAATTACTAGAATCACTCTCAGGCCACGACATTTGAAATGAGAGGTTGCGCTTTCCTCCTCTCACTATTATATATTGTGTATTTTGTTAATTTTTTCTTTTTCCATATAAAGATGGAGATAATACATAGATTGTGTTTTTAATCACATCCTACATCTACAATGGAACGACTTGCTCCAATATGTTCTTGATCGTAGGGATAACAATGAATCGGGTCGGGCGTATAGTTTATATATATTATTCTATGCAGAATGGTACCGATATCCACACAAGAATCACATAGAAAATCAAAATCATGCCCATACCAATCAGATTTCGGATTATCCACATTTATCCATTGGCAATAACAAAAGTAACAAAGAAAATTTAAAGCTTGTTCATCTTGCATGAGTTGCACCTAACATATACTATACATGAATAAGAAGCCAACATATTTTGCATGAAGTAATATGTAAAGTTTAGTGATTAGTGAACTTGATTCTTCAATCTTCTTATTTTCTTGTGAGGTTGTTTTATTCTCTTGGATGATTAGTTTTTTCTTTCATTATAAGATATTGGAAGACGCTAAAATATTTCAGTCAATTAAATGATACTATAGTTTGTAACAATCCAGTAATCTCCCTTTAGTCGAGTAGATAATTATTTATATCATGTCCTATCATGAATCGATATTCGGAAAGGTCGGAGCACTTGACTCGTGGTCGGGTGAACAACTGGTGGGTGCGAGTCTGGTAAATGGAAGTTGAGCATCATGGTGGGGCTCCCTCGGCATCCGCCATTGCTACCCACGACCAAAAAAATGGAAGGTAGTAGAAGAGAAAATATGTGAACTTTGTAGAGAGGAGATTAAGAATTAGAAATGCAGCTAAATAGTGTTTTTTGCGTGTAATAGTGAGTGTTTTTGTGGATATTTACTTATTAGAAATCTTAACAACATTAGGAATAAATATTATTAAAAGCTAAATAAGATTTTTCGTTAATATAAGAGTAATAATTACGTTAAAGGTTAAAGGTGGGTATTGTTAGGAATATTTAGTTTACAAGAATAAAATAATAAACCTAGCCCTTAATTTTTATGAACGGGCATTGGTGAGTTATTGAGGAATTAGTTATGTGATTTTTAAAATTTTAAATTTTAACTATAAGACCTTGAATGGGAAACGATGGAACAAAAGGTAAAAAATAATTTTAGTTTAGGTTTATGTACCCTCAAGACGTGCCAAATAAAACAGTTTGTTGGTTGATTCCATTGAATTCTCCCTCACCAACAATTTGACAAAAAATTATTAGTTTTACAAAGTTATAGAGAGATTTATAATAAGGCCAGTTTCTTTGTCGTTGCTTGCGTCACTTATAAAGATGCTTTACAATTCAGTGTCGCAAAGTTATAAGGCCAATACTATGGTGCCGCTTAAAAAAGTGCGGCACCGGTGCCACAACTTCTAATTGGTCCACTTGGGCTATGATGTGGCATTGGCGGTATGTTTATCAAGCCAAGCCCAAATTCAAATCCGTTGACAAATAGCTGGCCCAAACCCACCCAAACGGACGGAAAAGCTGTTGTCCGTTTTCTCATCAGCGTTTGTCTTTTTCTTTTATAATTCTCATCATCACGTGTCTTGTTGCTTTTTAACAATAATTCCTTTTACTTTGCATTTAATTATTACTTGATTTTCCGCCATAGACAAGGAATAGAGAAACGAACCCAGAAGCACTTAGTTGTCTTCCCCATTGTATTCGTTGCAGGTGCAAAAGCAAGAAGACCAGTATACAGAGAATCTAGCACCACTGCTAAAGAGCAACAAACCAATTTTCTTAATTCAATCGCTTGGAGAAGAGCATAGTTTCGAATCTGAATCACAACATGAACTACTAACTACTAAGGCTGCCACTACTCGACAAAACACTTAGTACCAAAACAAGACAACAGATGGATAGATCAACATAGAAGATGAAAAGGAGAGCAGTTGCTGCTCTCAATCGGGTTAGGCACCACCTGCTGCAGCAGCATGCTCAGTAGCCACATTCACCTTCACCTTCACCGTCATACCCTACATCAAACAATAGTTCACGCGGCTGCTAATGAAGTAGAAAGGCCTCCAAAGTGTCAGGTTGAACACGTCCCGCGCCCACCTCTCGTTAGGTTCATGATGAACCTTCCCCACTGCAACAGTCGTAGCCAGTCTTGTTGACCTCTAGCACATCGCACAAAGTGTTGTTGAACTAGAAATCTGCATGCTTTGCAAGGCCATCTCATAAAAAGATAAGTACAACGTCAGTAGTTTGATCATCACGCAAGTATTGGGTTGGAAATTGTAGATATAGTTTGCTTACCTTCTAGCTTGAGTAGGGTAGTTGTACCTGCTGTCAGTCACTTTTCCTGCAATAGCAAGAAGCCCAGAAAGCATTCGCTTTCACTTTATGGTAAAACTCGTCTATTGTGTTACGCATCATGAACAGAAACGGAAGAAACTCACGTGGCCATGCTAATAGCAAAGCTCTCATTTTGAGCTCGTTGGCATCTACTTCCGGATTTGCTCCACAAGATTCTGTTATCGTTACTAAAGGAAAACTCCAAGGCACAAAAATTAGTAAAATGAACAAACAACAAACCACCTCATTCAAACCTCGGAAGAGAAGAACCAACCACCTCAATTGGAACAACTACAACCTGCCATAACACAGAAGTCATCAGGCCAGAAATCCAAATTGGCACAGCAGATTGGGGAGCTTTCAATTAATTGGAAGTTAAATCATTTTGGTAACAACACTTATGTGCTTTGATGCTATGAGTTTAAGTACAAGCAAATCCAATCCCCAACCAATGCTACAGCTAGCGCATTCACAAAGGACATAAAGTCGATAAACTCGTCCATTTCAATTCAACCTTGAAACACAAATCGACCAATGCTATAGCAGATTCGCATACGACATCAGCACAAAGTCAATTTCAATTCAACCTAGAAACACAAATACTTGTTTGAAAATCAATACGGGAAAAACAAAAGTGAAGATACGCAATGAAATCGTCATTACCTCGATGAAGTAATCGGGGAGCACAAGTCTGAGAGAGCCGGAGTGGCACCGTGATTGAATTTTCTGAAGCTTTCCCATCCACCTCGGCACAATCTTCCATTTGCTCAAAATCTCAGTCTCCTGACTTTATATTCAATTCCTATCAGAGCTCGTTAGCCATGGCGGATGAACGGTACCAGGGCGGGTCATCTAGCAATCTCTCCTCCACTACAGTCGGTCGCGGTGTTGAACTCTTCGCCTTCGATTCGTCGAAACCCTATAACTAGCATTCCTTCTTAAGTTGCATCATCGACACATTGTAGAACGAGGATTGGAAACTCCATCTTAAGTCCTTCAGCACCGAAAACCCTAACCACATACTTGTAAACCCGTTCGCCGCCGTCGAGAAGCTGAACGATCGCGCATTCATGTTAGTACTAGTCAGCGAGCTGAAACTCGAGCGGAGATTCCTCGGATTGCACTTCCTAATTGGATTCAGATTAATCACAGAGTATGAAAGGAGAAGGAGAAATGGGGAAATGCGGTCGTTTCTTTTCATTTCTTTTATTTGTCTGAGAAAGTATTTGCTGGAATGGAAACGAAAGAGCAAGATAGTGACCCAATTCAGTGGAGCTGGTATGGACTGGAGATTGGCTGGGGAAGAACAAGTCGCCGAAGTGGGAGAGCGAGGAAGCCGACGTTCAGTTCTGGGTTAACGACAATATGGAAATGAGAAGACGAATTAAGGCTTCTCCATTACTTTGGGCAACTGGTAGTTTGGGTCAGTTCTCATGCCCATCGGGTCTGGGCTGATTTAATAATACAAACTAGTGCCACATCACTCTTATCTGGACCAATCAGAAACAGCGGCACCGATGCCATAATTTTTACAGCGGCACTATAATATTGGCCAAGTTATAAACATCGGTGGGCTTTTTTGGCTAATTAGAGATTTTGATCTATTTGACATTTATATATGATTTGTGATAATTGGTGATTATTTGGGGCTTTTGGGAACAGTTGGGGGTATTTTGTTAGGGAATATTAGTTGGGTAGTAAAAGAAAATTTATCGAACTATACATATTTTGTAATTAGTGGTATTACACATTAAGCAATTAAAAAACAAAATTCCTCTAAGCCTAATCTCTCTCTTCTTATCCTAACCGAACTCCCCCTCCCTATCTCTCTAACCCCGGCTTTCCCCTCCATTGAGCATAGTTCTCGTTCTTCCTCAATCACCACTTCTCAATCCTCTTTAATTCCCAATCCTCCTTATATTCTCAAATCTCGGGACCTTAGTTTTTTATGTCTAGATCCTAGTTCTTGCAGTGGTATCAGAGAATGATCGACGTCGGGGGATTTACACAATAACAAATGGATCCAACTACTTGACAGAAGTTGCAGGATGTCGTGGAGGTCGAGGACCTCATGACGACTAAAGGTTCTCAGGCGCTGCTGAAGGCCCTAGTGAACACGCAGGAAGAAATGACTGGTAGATGGTTCGGATCTCCTCACACATTCGAGAGCAATGCGCACCAACAGCGAGGTCCTAAGAGTGATCATGGCGATGAGCAAAGGATTGACCACGACTAGGGTAGCGACACGCCTACAAGACTTTGAACCGACGTTGCTAACCAAGTGACGAGTGTTGTCGTGGCGCCGCTGGTGGTGCCGACAGAGAGAGACATGATGTTGACGACACCAAAGGGTGTGTGGAGATCGGCTCAGAAAGCAGTGGCAACAGAAAGGGGCAGGTACTACCATTCAAAGGGTTGTGTGGGACACAAGGTCCACGGGGATCTGACTTTGCTCCTAGGATGCTTCCGACTCCCACGACCCAGGAAATCGCGATAATCTGCGACAAAGGGAAGCTGCCAGGGTATGACTTACTGGGTAGGGAAACAACGATGGGCCTGGGATTGATGCACGAAGGGCAAAGGGGCCGCAGGAGGCAGCAGATTAGGGCCGCTAGGCTTGGGCTAGGCACGCGAATGGGACGAGATGATCTTCTGCCGTCCAAGCCAAGTGTGGGCTGAGGCAGAGCACGACATTGGGCTACTAACGCGACTGAGTCACAACCCAGCCGGATCTGGGTGGGTTGCTCCAAGTCAAACTAAAAGTGGGCAAATTGGTCTGCGTCTAACCGACTCAAACCAATTATGACCGAATCGGGAAGCAGGGGCATCAGTCTTGAAGGGGTGAAACGGGTCGTGATACCGATTTCGAGGAGCAATTTACAGACCTTACCCTCCGTGGAAGTCACATGGACCGGACATTAGGCCACCTTTGTGCCACTAGGAGGTTGGACAAGGCTCTAGACCTTGATTGGGAGACCAGTCGGATGATGAGGATGGTTGGGTATTCTTGCCACCACCCTGACAGTAGTAGAGGTGCACCATCAGTAACTTGCACCACCAAGGAGGTGGTGATCACGACATGTATGGGGTTGTTTTCTACTTAAGATGGTGATGATGACTTGTTTTTTAGGGCTAAATCTCCAACCATTGAGTTTCCAAAATTTAATGGGCAAGAGGATGCAGCCTTGTGGATGTATGCTTTTCACAGTTGGTTTAAGAACCATGCTACTCGGGAGGAAAGGAAGGTGCACATGGCGCCTTTCTACCTAGAGGTGATGTCCTCCAGTGGTGGGAATTGATGGAAAGGTCTAATGTAGAAGAAGACATGGAGATATCGTGGGGGTGCTTTAAGGAGGAGCTGAAGTTTCAGTTCGGCAGATATGAGGGGTGTACACTAGAGTAGTAAGCCAAACTGAAACAAACTAGCACAGTAGCATAGTACCGGTCGGAGCTCCTGAAGTTAGAGTTAGACAACATGTGTAAGGGGATGCAGAGGAGACATTAGTGGGGGTAGGGGTGTAACCTTGACCCGGAAGACCCACTGACTCGTCCCGACCTGCTAATAAAAGGCAAATATTTGAACATACGATTATTTGTTCAAACCAACTCGATACAGTGTCATAAACTAGTTGATAGTTTTTTTAATAAGATTAATTATGTATCTTATACATATACCCTACTTACGGTCATATACTTATTCGTATTTGCTTTATTCCGTTTCGGAATATCTTTGGTGGGAGGGGGGGAACCTACGCTACTTACGAGTTAGGGCCTCAGAGGTCACCATCTGTCTCGAGGGTAGCCTCCTGGTGGGCTACGTGGGCAACAAATTGTTACCTAGCAGTTACGAGCCAGTCATTTGTCCCGCAAAGGCCGGGTCCATTTTCTTTAGAATTTGGATTCTGAAAAGAGGCTTAGGCCGTTCCTGGGCTTAATAGCCAAAACCTGGGAGCCCAAATAGCTGTCGTAGCTACGTTCAGTTCCAACTTCCAACTCTTTCTTGCCTGACGTGTGACTTCGTTCTAAAGAAAGAGAGCTTTAGTAAGGGTCGTTTCCTTGCTTGGATTTTGATTAAAGAAAAACAAGTATGTTCTTCAAAATTTTCAATGTCAATGTTGTTCATGTCTCTATATTTACTTTATAAAAGGGGGCAGATTAACTGATTAGGTGAGGGAGAAAATATCATAATAAGGGGTGTTTAATTATGTGACTCATTCGAACTTCCAAGCTCCGAAGCTCGACTCTGATGGGCGAATCCTCCGCTCCGGCACCGGCCCTCTTCCCGTCCGACCGACCTCCGGACACAACGATACCTTCCTCAGCATCTGCAATCGAAGCGGGGCCCTTGGCTTCCAAGGTGTCACCCGCCCCGGACGCTGAGATGATAACGGATAATGAGACTCCAGCGACCCAGGCCCTGGACGCCAGAGAAACATCCCAAGCCCCCCCGATCAGCTCAGCGGCGACCCAATCTCGCTTCACTTACGCTTTAGCGGTCACCGGAACCCATGGAATGACTCCAACCCAGCCACTGGCCAACCAGTGGATGCCGGTTGGTGAGCATGATCTTATACCAGGGGAGCGCAATGGTGAACCGGCGCTGGACATCTCCCCGAGCTTCAAAGCTAAAATCTGCGCTCCTTGGGAGCGAGCCCTGGTAGTCAGACTTGTCGGTGCAAAAGTCGGCTTCACCGCACTATGCGCCCGCCTGCGACAGCTCTGGCGCCCAGTTGGGACTTTGGAGGTTATGGACCTTGATCATGATTGCTTCCTGGTAAAGGTAAGCAACGAGCAGGACTATTTTCGGGCTCTCACAGATGGCCCGTGGATGATCTATGATCATTATCTGATAGTTCAACAGTGGACTCCCAAGTTCAAAGTTTCAGATCCTCTACCGAAGAAGATGATTGTCTGGGTCCAGCTCCCTGCGTTGAAAGTACATTTCTATCATAAGGAGGTGTTGACAGTTCTCGGAAATCTCATTGGACGGACTATTAAACTTGATTACCATACTCTAACGAGACAGCGTGCCAAGTTTGCTCGGCTGGCGGTAGAAGTGGATCTCTCCAAGCCACTGGTCCCAAGGATTTGGCTGGACGACGAATGGCAGAGGGTCGAATTCGAAAATCTGCCCGTCGTCTGCTTCGAATGTGGCAAAATTGGCCACCCAACCGACTCCTGCCCGCTCCTGCAACCAACTATGTCGCCGGCGACGCTACCACTTCTCGGCGGGACCTCATCGGAAACTCGGCCGGCGCTAACAGAGGAGAACCCGGGATACGGGCCGTGGATGCTTGTTAGCCGCAAATCCAGGCGCAATCCCAGGGATCAAAACAAGAATGGTAAGCAGGAGTTGGATAATGGAAAGTTGGAATCGGGCAAGGATGGAAAGAACAAGAAAGTGGGGAACACAAATAAGGAAGGAAAAACCACCCCCCTGTATCTCGCAACCAGCAACGGGTCGCAAATCCCCAGCCTCGGCTCACAAGAAAGGAAGGTCTCCAACGGTAAAAAGGGGAGCAGCGAATCAAATAAGGGGAAGGAATTAATGGGCTCTCAGGTAAACCAAATAGAACAAGGCCTTCTCGGGCCGAGGCCCAACGCGAGGACTAAGAAGGGCCACGTTCAGATGGAAACTCAAGAGGCCCAAGCGACCTCTGCCCAGAATAACAGGAGCTTGAATAATAAGAGCACTAAGCTATCGGGCCAAAACGAGGCCTCGGCCCAGAAAGATAATCCCCAGCCCAGTACCTCCCTTCCCCCTGTTCATTCAGTCATCGGCCCAAGCGGTACAGAGATGCAGATTATTGCCTTTCAACCAGCCGGCGCGATCTCCACCACGGGAAGCGGCGATGCGAATCCTTCCACTGCCTCCAGAACAAAGCGAAGCAAGAATGCCAAATCGAGAGGCCGGAAAGGATCCCCTGCGAAGCTCAACCCGACTAGGACCCTCCAAATTTGGTCCCCGGTTAAGGAGAAGAAATCGAAGAACAAAGCTCGTTTGGCGGCACTGACGCTGCAGGACATTAATGAGTGGACTGAAGCTAGAGGACGGCTCACCACGGGTACCTCTGACCAAACCCCGATGGCAGAGCCGAGTCATCCTCAGCAAGAGGAATCCGTGGAGAGGGAGATGGCCACCTCTGCTTGCTGACCTGCTACTCGATTTCCCTACCCCTTTGCTTTTCTCTTTTCCTTTGTTTCCTATGTCTAGTAATCACAATATTAAAGTTTTTTCTTGGAACGTTGGTGGTGCAGGTAACATCGCCTTCGTTCGTGCGCTTCGTCTTGCTATTCATCAGCACCGTCCGGATTTTGTTATCCTGTTGGAGCCCCAAATCAGCGGGAACTCAGCTAACAAAGTTTGTGATAAGCTGGGGTTTCCTAACTCGATTAGAGTTGAAGCTGAAGGGAGGAAGGGAGGTATCTGGGTGTTCTGGGATGCCGGAAGATTCACTACGCAACTCATCTCAGCCTGCAACCAGCATATTTCCTTGCAGATATCTCAGAACTCGGCGCCACCCTGGGTTCTAACCGCCGTGTATGCGTCGCCTCAGTACAGCCAGCAGCGAAGTCTTTGGGAATGCCTCATTGACCAGAGCAAGCAGATCGTCACCCCGTGGTTGCTTACTGGGGATTTCAACGCAATTCGGACGTTAGAAGAGAAGTCGGGCCCACCCACGAATTCCACGGCTCGTCGGTGTCACATTTTCAATGAACGAATCAATATGGCGGAGTTAGTTGATCTTGGCTTCTCCGGCCCACGATTCACGTGGACTCGAGGAGATCAGCCCCAAAATTACAGAGCAAGTCGACTCGATAGGAGCCTTTGCAACCTGCAATGGAACTCGAGATTTCCCAACACTTCAGTCACCCACCTTCCTCGCTTTCATTCTGATCATAACCCGATCATGACCACCATCACCATTCAGGGATGTACCCCATCTATCCCTCGTCCTTTTAAATTCGAATCTGCGTGGTTCACCCATGACAGCCTTGCTGATTTTATATCTGATTCCTGGAACTCTGATACCCTCTTTCACACTGCCTTGTCTCTGCTTGCAGGTAAACTCCGGGAATGGAACACCAGCACCTTTGGGAATGTACACCAGAAGAAGAGAAGGCTGCTTGCGCGGCTCAAAGGAGTTGAAACTCGATTGGCGGTCGGGTTCTCTCCTGGTCTCGCGAAGCTACATTCCAAGTTGGAAGCCGAGCTCGATATTGTTCTAGCCCAGGAGGAGTTGCTGTGGTTTCAGCGAGCAAGAGAAAACTGGGTGAAATATGGGGAAAGGAACACGGCCTACTTTCATCAGCTGGTCAACATTAGGAGGCGAAGGAACAAGATTGATACTCTGCAGGATGCGTCCGGGAATTGGGTGACTGATCAGAATGCACTTGCTGCTATGGTGTTCAGTTTTTTCACTAACCTTTATACGCAGGATGATACTCCCTATGAGGACAGGCTCCCGAAGGGCTCTTTTCCGCGGATCTCTCAAAATGAATTGATGGCTCTGCTTCGGCCCTTTAACACAACGGACATCCACAAGGCCATTTTTGACATGAAACCCTTCCAGGCGCCAGGACCAGATGGCTTTCAGGCTGCTTTCTTCCAGCAAATGTGGAGAATCGTTGGGAGGGACCTCTCGAAGATGGCCATTAACTTCTTCTCCACAGGGGAGCTGCCGGATACGGTGTCCGAGTCAACAATGGTGCTTATCCCAAAGGTGGAGAACCCGGAGCGTGTGAACCAGCTGAGGCCCATCTCTCTTAATAATGTGAGCCTCAAAGCCATCACTAAAGCCATGACGAGTAGACTGAAGCCTCTCATGAGGAAGCTGGTGTCTCCCAGGCAGAGCAGTTTCATTCCGGGCAGACAGACAACAGACAATATCATTGTGGTGCAAGAAGTTCTTCATTCCCTCAGGCGAAAAAAGGGAAAGAAGGGCGGTCTCATTGTGAAGATCGACTTGGAGAAAGCTTATGACAGGCTCCGTTGGGACTTCCTGCGGGACACCCTTAAGGAAGTTGGCCTCCCTAGTTCCTGGATCAGCTGTATTATGCACTGCGTGGAGCAAAATCGGATGAAAATTATGTGGAACGGAGAGCTCTCTCAACCCTTTTCCCCGACCAGGGGAGTCCGCCAGGGAGACCCTCTATCCCCTTATCTCTTTGTTCTTTGCATGGAACGTCTATCCCACTTGATTGATGAGTTGGTGGATAGTGGGGATTGGAAACCTATTAGATTATCTCAGAATGGTCCGCCCCTCACCCATCTTTTTTTTGCGGATGATTTGTTGCTTTTTGCAGAAGCAGAGACTCGGCAGATAGGGACCATCAAGCGGTGCCTGGAGGACTTCTGTTTCAGCTCAGGTCAACGTGTGAACTTCGACAAGTCTATGCTCTTCGTTTCCCCCAATGTTACTCGCCAGAAAGCTGAAAGGCTGAGCCGCCGCTCAGGCATTCCTCTGACAGCGGACCTGGGGAAGTACCTTGGGATACAGACGATCCACGGGCGCATCACTAAGGGGAGATACCAGTCTCTTCTTCTTCGGATTCAAAAGAAGTTAGCTCCCTGGAAAGCCAGGCGTCTATCCTTTGCGGCTAGGCTTACTGTTGCTAAGTCAGTTTCTGCGTCATTACCTGTCTATCATATGAATACTGAGCTAATCCCGGTTGGTGTTTGCAAAAGCATTGATAAGATTAACAGGGACTTCATCTGGGGTGATGAGGAGAACAAGAGCAAGATGCATTTAGTGGCTTGGGAGAAGATGACTCTACCCAAGACATTGGGCGGAGCTGGCATCAGACCCACAAGACAGGCTAATCTGGCCATGCTGGCGAAAGGTGGTTGGAGACTTCTCAAGGAGAAGGATACTCTTTGGACACAGATCATGTACTCCAAGTATGGGCGCCAGCAGAGACACCTAGACATTCTGCGTCCTTCTCAGGGAAGTTCCTTTACTTGGGCAAGCTTCACAAAAGCTGCCTCCCTCCTTAAAAAGGGTTGTGCCTGGAATATCAAGAATGGTAAGCACACTAAGTTTTGGCTTGATCTCTGGGTTTTGCAGGTCCCTCTCAAGGAGATAGCTATTGGCCAGCTGCCGACAGGAAGCGAGGAGAAGACTGTAGCTGACTTTGTGCACGATGATGGGACCTGGCGGACGGATTTGTTCGAGGGACTCCTCCCCCCAGCCATCTCCCAAAAGATCCTTAGCGTGGCGGTGGATAAACTATCCACAGAGGACGACACTCTCTTCTGGTCAGCCTCCTCGGACGGAAACTTCTCAGCCCGATCAGCCTTCAACCTCAGTAATGATCACCAGCAGGATGTGGATGAACCCCTTTGGAAGGCAATTTGGAAGCTCCCGGTCGCCGAAAGAGTGAGAAGCTTTACCTGGCTAGTCGCTTTGGGAAGGATTGCCACGAATGGACTTCGATACACTAGGAAGGTAGCGGATGACCCCTCATGCTATAGATGCAGTGGCCAGCCTGAGACGGTCCTTCATGCTCTGAGAGACTGCTCACCAGCGAGTTTCTTCTGGTCTCGAAGAGTGCCTCCTTCCCGGCAACACTCCTTCTTCAGCTCTAATCTAAGGGATTGGTTGCGGGATAACATCTTGAGCAACGACAGCATGGCCACAGGAATGGATTGGTCGGCCTTCTTCTGCACCGCTTGCTGGCTCATCTGGAAGAACAGGTCGACAGCCTGCTTTAAAGGTATGGGGGCAGCTCTCTCTCCTCATTCTCTTGAACATTCTATTATGGCAAAAACCAAGCTCTGGCAAGATGCTTGGAATGCGCCGTCCCGCCTCCCCAGTAACAGACAGGCTCCAGCGGAACGGGTCTTGGCGCACGTTGGATGGACGCCCCCACCTGAAGGATGGTTATCCCTGCATGTCGACGGTGCTTCTTCAGGGAATCCTGGTCCCGCCGGGGCGGGTGGTGTTCTCCGAGATTCGAGTGGCAGGTGGGTTGCAGGTTTCGTTGCGAACCTTGGTGCGGCGACGGCTGCTCTCTCTGAGCTGTGGGCTATTAGCTATGGGCTTGACATTGCGCGGAAAGCTGGCTGCAGATTCCTCCAGGTGGCCTCGGACTCCCAACTGGCGATTCAGCTGATCAGTACTCGGCAGGACCCGATCCACCCTTATGCGACCTTGTTGACAGCTATTAGGAGGAAGATTGGAAGTGACTGGGTGGTACGCATAGCTCATACATACCGGGAAGGGAATATAGTCGCGGACTGGCTCTCGAAGCACAGTCTCGTCTATCCCTACGGTATGCACGAACTTGCGGATCCACCCAATGGAGTGGCTTCGATTCTCAGGGATGATATGCTTGGGACTACTTTTGAGAGGCGTATCATTGCCTCCCCCCACCCCCCTCTGTAATCTCCCCCTGTAACTGTTTCTTGTTCTTGGCCTCGGCCTCCTTCCAATGCAAAAAAAAAAATTATGTGACTCATTCTACCACTTAAATTTTTAATCTTACTATATAGCATGTTAACATTATCATTCTACTTACATTAATTATAAGAATATTATAGCAATTACCACCTATCACAACTCCTCCCCTCCGTTTGATGGATTTGAGTTTATATGCAAATTACAGTTTGATACATAAACTCAATAGATTTTAAGATTTAGTATCTAAAAGTAAAAAAAATTGTATATAATACCTTAAAATATTAATGGAAAATCATATGTTAATACATAATATTTTTATGTCTTTTATTTTGATAAGTGAAGTTTTTAAAAATTTACAAATAGGTCCAAGTTTATAAGATATTTTATATGTTTTAAGAAACTTGTGGTATGTTTATGAGGTTCCTAGTCTGCTCTACGAAATTTGTGGTCAGCTTTATGAGGCTACCAGTCAGCTTCCGGAACTTATGGTATGCTTTATGAGATTTTTTGTCTACTTAAGCAAAATGTAGGTATATTTTATGAGGTTTTTGGTTTGCTTTAAAAAACTTGTTGGATGCTTTGCGTTTTCTTGTATTCTTTATGAATTTTGTGGAGTAGAGAGGTTCTGGTGTAATTTATGTTGTTTGTGGTGTGGTTTGTTGTGTTTATATTCTGTGTTTTGTGGTATGCTTCATGATACTTGTGGTGAGGTGGAGAGCGCAGAATTAATGCAAATAGCCACACACATATG